CACAGCCGCGATAAGCAGCAGTATGTTCTCCACCACAATTACAGCATTTTATTTTAGCTTCTTTTCCACATTTACCATATTCATGTTCTCCTGCACACCTTCCACACCTCTGTTTCCCTTTACAAACTGCTGCAATGTGTCCGAATTTTTGACATTTGAAACATCTCAATGGTGGTGGATTGTAGATTTTGACATTGTAACTGATGTAACCGATGAATACTTTGCTTGGTAATTGCTCTTCCTCGAATTTAATTAGTACAGATAAACTGTCAGATCTTTCTCCGTTTCTTGTTGTTTTTAACCGTTTTACTTCTTTTACTTTTGCACCGCTTATGTTTTCCAGAATCTCTTTTTCAGAAATTTTCAGAGGAACTCCTCCAATGACTCCCCTGCTGATCTTTTTGTTCTCCATTAGGCTGCACTGAACTCTTATCCCGTCAATTTTGTTAATACGTATTGCTTTGCCTTGCTGGGCGCTGTCTCTGCAGTTAATTAGCAGGTCTCCACTGTACAGAATTCTGGCACCTCTGACTTCTCCAACAAGTTTATTGATGGTTTTTGTTAAGTGAACCGGATTCCAGTTTGTAAAAGAGTCTGCCTGATTAACGACTTTGAATATGACTTTGAATTCATTTTGTTGTGCTGTGGAATGTATGGATTGATCATCACTGGATTGTTCTGAACTAGATTCCCCTTTAACTGATCTCTGTTTTTTCCGCTTTTTCTCATTTTTTGATGCTGCTATCTTCCAACCTTCATTGTCACTATTTCCCTCTTCCATCCCACAAGAATCGCTTCCTGTTTCCTCACTACTCACGGCCCAGGACATTTCTCCACAAGCAGAGCAGCTTCAAAACACGCGCCATGCACCAAACGCCTCGCCGCTTCTTCTTCTTCCGTCCGCCAATCTTCTCAAACACGAGGGAAAAAGGCTGTGCCCTTGAAGAAAGGGATAGGAAACCCCGTACCGTAGTGGGCGTGTCCATGAACATAGTGCGCATGCCTATGAGTTTACAGTTGAGGGAACTCAAAAAATCTTGTATAGGCGATTTAAAACTCCTTGTTAAACCAACTTCTGAGAATTTGAGTTGGGCAAACGTGTATTTATTTGTTAGATGTCAAATTTATATTTCTGAGTCGGATTACAATACAATTGTGTGTTAGAACAACAATTGCCATTTACTTTTTTAACAGTGTACGCCTGTGGGTTTGCTCACAGCATCTTTATCTGCTTAACACAGATTTTTGTGCCACTTCTGTGATCTAAAATCTCAACTGATATTAGAGATGATGTGGAAAACTATTGCTTCCTGTATATTCACACTATTCTTACGTGTTCCCAAAAGACTTAGCAGTATACTTTAGCTTATGGCAAGGAAACAAAATGCATGGATGCCAAAATTATAACCATTCTTACATTAAATTACACTGATTTCCCAATTTTTGCCTTCCCACACCATTTACCAGATAAAGAAGGGACGAGTGCTTCCACCATCCAGCTTAATATGTGAATAAAAACAGCTTTTTGCTTTCTGATGTGGACATAACATTATATCTTTAATGTAATTGTCACTTCTGTGCAATTTGCAGTTAGACAGCCATAAAAAAATATGACTTTTAAAGTGGAAATATCAATTTAAAAAATCTCCTCAACAATTTTGTATGACAAGAAAATCTTTTTACATCTGGCATGGCCCCTTATGGACTGAACAATTTCCTCGACGTTATTATTTCCTTTATGCTTCATAATGGATGTTCTCTGTTTCCAGGAACATAAAAACTAGCTCTGACAACAAAAAGAAAAATTCTATTTCCATCATGAGAAAGATCCTTTTTTAATTTTTAAAAACAGCGTGTGTGATTTTATGTGGGTAGCAGCTGCTATCTTTGGCTACTTTTGGTTGAAGTACTTAAAGCTGCAGGGAGGCTGGGACACATGCTCCATCGATTCCAGTCATCCACCTCCTCTTATCAACACAGGATGTAGATGGAGGCTAAAAAAGACTTTTGACAGCCTGAAAAACAACTGTTATTGATTTTAGCTCTTATTTGAGGCTCCATTAAAATGCTCATCTCCTTTCCATAGTCACATGGTCTCTTTGGCAGTATCAGCAGGAGAAATGTACCGATGAACTGATCAGAGAATTGATTTCAATGATCCTTCTCTGAAGAGCCTGAACCAAATTCAGTAAAGTGAGCAGGAGGTGCTCTTCATCTTTTTTTAGCTTCCCATTGACATTTAGGTTTTTCCTCACTGGAAACAATGAAAACCACTTTCTACTCTAGTGAAAAGCTTTTGTTTTAGCTTTAAAAAACTCTATTTTGATTTCAAGAACAAAAACAATTTGCTACGAGTAGAAATGCTTTAAACGTATATTTATCGTCTTACAGATTGTTTCTGTTTTGGTTCTTTTTTTTGTCAAATTTTTAGATCATTAAATCAACTTTAACAATAAAGTAGCCCAAGTAAAAACAAAAGGCATCCAAAAACAATGTAAAATTCGGAATTAACTATGATTAACCAGACTCCATGAAAATCTCAACCCTTTTGTGAGATAACAACACAAAAAAAAACATGTTCAGGTTAAAATAAGACATTATTCACAAAGAGGGACTCCTCTTCCCTCCATAAAAGACAGTTCATCCCAGCGCTGCGTGTCCCGCACCCGTGACATTATTAATAACCCCTCACACCCCACAATGGACTGTTCTCCCTGCTGCCTTCTGGGATAGGCTTCACGGCATTTGATGCAGATCCAGCAGATTCCGAAACCACTTCTTTCTCACTGCCATCAGACAGCCGAATGTTGTTTTTTCTTCCACAATGTTTACATTTGATCACTGCTGCACTTGAAAATTGAAATGACATGAAAGCTGTACAAAATTTAATTTCGTTTTGTATACACTCAATACAAAAAATGTTGTCTAAGTCTAAATCTAAGTTATTAAAGGAATAGTACACCCAAAACATGATTAGCCTTCATTTTCTACTCACCCCCATGCTGAACAACACTCTGGAGTACTTTTTTGATATCTCAAATGCATCTGGAGATCTGGGAGGCTTCTTGCTGTCTGCTGACATTCAAATAATGGAGGTCTATGGCGCCCGAGGCAGAAAGGTCCATAAAAGTCCACAAAAAACGTGTCAATATTCCTCCATACTGCTCGTCCAATGTATTCCAAGTGTCCTGAGTGGGTAGCGTCCATAATTTACTCGAAACGAAGTCATTTAGAATGTTTTAGAGCATAAACAGTAGTGTATAGGATTTCCTAAAAGCGCGTTCACGAGTCTACGGAAACCGCGGCAGACCAAACCAGATGAAAGTGCGCATTCAGCTCGGCAAAGAACTCATGCTCTTCCTCAACACTCAAGTCCTCAGACATTTTTCTTTCGTTGTTTCTTTCTTTGCACAGGTAATCAGCACATTTCTTCTTCTACGCTTGCATTATCGGCAGAGCAGACGCTGAATGCGCACTTTCATCTGGTTTGGTCTGCCGCGGTTTCCGTAGCGTCGTGAACGCGCTTTTAGGAAATCCTATACACTACTGTTTATGCTCTAAAAACATTCTAAATGACTTCGTTTCAAGTAAATTATGGACGCTACCCACTCAGGACACTTGGAATACATTGGACGAGCAGTATGGAGGAATATTGACACGTTTTTTTGTGGACTTTTATGGACCTTTCTGCCTCGGGCGCCATAGACCTCCATTATTTGAATGTCAGCAGACAGCAAGAAGCCTCCCAGATCTCCAGATGCATTTGAGATATCAAAAAAGTACTCCAGAGTGTTGTTCAGCATGGGGGTGAGTAGAAAATGAAGGCTAATCATGTTTTGGGTGTACTATTCCTTTAATACTAAACCATTCTTGATATTTTTATATTATTTGCACCTAGTTAAATGAGCTAACATAGACATTGTTATACACCATCATTATCTGCTGGTAGTTCCCACAAACTACGAGCAAACTACACAAATTTATGAGCATTTAGCTTCTTCTTCAATGAACGATTTGGAGCAGTGTTTGCTTGGCAGCCATTTTTTTTCCTCTTTTTGCTCTTGGTTTTGGACTTTTCCTCTTTCATTTCTCATTTCTATTGGGAAATGATGACTTGCTTGACTACAGTCCGTATCATACCATCTGATTGTGTTCTTTTAAATACAGAATACTCTTAAGTTTACTAACAAATGGAGAAAAAAAAAGGGTTAACATGCAAGAAAGTGCGCCAAAATTTAATCAGAAGGGCTTTGTGTGTAACCAGAGTGAGTTAGCAGCATATAAATCATCAATCATACATGGCTAGGCTCCTATGAATAGAACCTAAAAAAAAATGTAATAATGACCCTCATCTGTTTATGTATGATGTTTCTTAGGCTTTCAGACTCAAGCGAATAACTGAGAGCAACAAATCCATTAATGGAGGAGCACCAACATTACTCTAAGTGGGCATTAATGAGTCCCAAGCACTACAGGCCCTGCTTATCTCAGATAAGCTCAGTAAGATGCATGTCCCATAACTTTGAAAGTAAACACAGCATTTCGAGGAAATCAGTCAAAGATGGTGGAAGTAGTCTGTTGTGTGTAGGTATCAGGCTGCTTTGATTCCTACAAATTCGGATAATATACCTTAATGGATGGAATCATGAGGTTTTCTCTCTTCCAGATATTCCTGGAGGATAACTGCTAACCTTTAGTTTGAAACCCAAGGCTCCAAGGCTATCAGAAATAATGGAAAATCAAAGTTTGGGTGTTGTGGCATGGCCTTAAACAGGGGGCTCATGCTCAAAAATCCTGAAAGATGTGCCTGCAAACAATTCAGCAAAGTAGTGCGCCAAAATTCCTTAATAGCGATATATATCACTGATTATCTGCTACCAGCTGCATCATTGCATACATTCAACCACATAGGGTTAGGTAGCAATACCCTTTGAAATAGCAGTATTCATACCTACTGCACCCAACAATTTTGACTGAAAATAAATAAATAAATAACATACCTATCAAGAGCGATGGCACTGAAGCTGAGCACAGTGACAGAGCAAAACAGTTTGTGCAGGAATTTCACAACCTTGCAGAGCAGCAATGTGTGAAGCCACAGACAGCAGCGGGGACTGGCTCCAAGTGCCACGTCGAAGGGGACACACACCAGGCCAGCACAGATGCCCGAACATGCCAGGTTCTTTATGAATCTGTTGGTCACTGATTTAAAGACACTCGTACAGCAGGTGCACCACAGCACGGTTGCATTACCTGTGGAAAAGACAAAGGAGATAAGAACAAAGTCAGACTTAAGAGTTCATTAAGCTGGTAAGATGCTAGCATAGAGCACAACTCAAACGATCCCATGAGTTAGTTTTCTTCAATACATTTGCAATTATTGCAGCAAATTTGCTAAATCGTTTCTAAGGTTTCTCATTGGCTATATGCTTTTAGAAATGGACATGGATTCTATTGGCTCTGACAGCTCGATGGACATGTCAATCATCCATAAATGGTTTGAACATTTTTTTTAAAATCATCTCTAAAAATAAAATCATCCCTTGTGTAAAGGGCAAATCCCCCTTAATTAACATCTAAAAAACATATTGATACACTGACGATGTGTTATGAGTACAAACAAATATATCAGATAGCAAAAATGCTTTTTGTTGTACTTTTATTTGTGTAAAATATAATAAAAATCCCTCTGTGGGGCAGAAGATAATCGGGATTAAGAATTTCTCCCTTATTCTCTAAGTTCTAGTTCAGATATTAATGCCAGTAAAACTATCAATACTTAGTTGTTTTAGAGTTTGTAGTCCTGTAAAAATATAACAACTTATTAACTTTAAAGACATTTTAAAGACATAAAAATACATTCTTAAATTTGACAAAAGTGTTTTCTAAAATTATTATTTTTGTGCAATATAAACCAATTAATTAAGCTTAGAGAAAATGTATCTATGTGTGGCTTTATTAACTAAAATATATTTGTATTAAGACGATTACTAGTTTTAAAACAAGTATATTTGGTAGATTAATTAACCATTGTTACATTCCTTTTTGAATTTTAGGGTGTACAAAAAGTAATGTCTTGAAATTCAAAACATGGCAGGTCCAAATAGCCAATTGTGGATGCAGAGTTATAGATTTATAGCTGGGTCATTCAATTTTTTTTAATCAAATTCATTAAAAAAAAAAACATTCATCAAATATGGGTTCCAGGTGTCTATCATAGAATTAGACAAGAGCATAAATGGGTCAAAAGCTAATTAATTAAAATTCCTTAATTAACCCCAAAGGGAAATTGAATCTATGGTTCAAAACATTTTAAAACTGCAACTGAATTAAAATTACATCCCTCATTAACCGAGATCGCAAGAGAGAGATCAATCATCAGAAAGCAGAAAATGAAAACTTCACTCAGAAATATGCCCTGTATTCATTTCCAGGGGGAGGCCGACAGCATGTGATGTTTTGGATTTCAATCAGTGAAACAGAGAAATGAGTAATGAATGACTTAATCAGTGATAGAAATATTCCAATAATAAAGAATAAAGATAATTTCAGAAACTATACTAACCAAGTGAAACCCATTATATAGATTTATTATGCATATTTCAGTTCATTAAAATAATTTTGAATTTAGAGCTAATAAAAACAATACCATATTTAAAGTAGAATATCAGACAATACTAATTGTAAAACATTCAATACAGAAAAAGTGAACAATGTTTAATACCCAATCAAGGCTTGTTATTTTCTAAAGATACTTTTAATCTAATAAAGGAGTCTCGTCAGACCATTTATCTTACTTTAATACCACAGTGTATGTTTGTTCCATTTTATTTCATATAAATAATTGTAGAGAGATTATAATCTGTCTAAAAAAAACTAACATAGATGCACTACAGGTAAACTACCAGGTCAGACATGTCAATAGTTTGCATTATTGCAAAGATGAATTACTAAGTACAAATTGACATTTTTATATATGTAAGGATTGATAAAAAAAAAGCTTTAGTTTATCCAACTGAGGTACATGTTAAACCCTAACCCTACCTAATTATATTTTAGTTTTGAGCAGACATTTTGCCGGTAAAGTGTGGAAAACTCAGATCTAGAGATAAATAATTTAAAAAAATTTTCAAGCTCATAATATGATATAGTATATATTCATACTAGGGCTGAAGTAATGAATCAGATGAATTTTTATTAAGCGATTGTTGAAATAATCATCATTCTTAATCGATCATTTGTTAACTTTAGTATAAAGACTCTAAAACTGGCCTTTAGCTGACAGAGCATCCCACTTTGAGCAGTAACTATAATAAAATTGTAAGAACATATATAAATATTTTGCATTTAAGATTAAAAAAAAAACACTTTTCAACTGAATAAAATGTTTCACCTGGTTTGATGTTGTAGAAAATCTTCTTCAAGGAACCTTTGGCTATCCGATTAATAATCGACTAATCAAAAAAATTGTTGAGATTAATCGATTAATCAATAAGGATAAGTGGCTGTTTATCTTAACCCTGCTTTACATCATAATCTGGCATCAACCAGCTGACATGGAGTCATATCAGACAGCAAAGCGCTGTGTGGGATCAGAGCTCTAGTGCAACATTTTGCTCTGATGCATTATCAAGAACATCCCACATGCTCTAAACAGCTGCAGGTTGCTCATATCATGCTCCCCAAACACAGACAGAACCGTGACTTGCTCATAAAATTGTATGTCATAGTCCAAAGTAACTTAACCCTCATTCGTTTGTAGCCACAGTTTGGTAACTTTACTCAAAAGTCCCCTTCAACTTAAAATACTCGCGTGGCACTTCACAAATGCCATGCTACAGCAGCCAACAGAGGTAAAGACCAAACACTAAACCTTATTTTTCTTTCAGCCTATCGCATAAATGTCCAAATAGAACGAGGAACATTATCATAAAGCACAGCTTGATTATTCTCTACATTTAGTGTTAATAAGCTGCTCTCAGATTCATCCATGTATCCAAACACAGTGGCACAAAAGATTGAGACTAAAACTTGAGTCATTATTAATGCATTTAACAGCTTTTCTTTTATTACATCCAAGTGGTGTTTAATAATTAGATTTCCCATGGCAGCAATGCTTTCTAAATGATAAGTAGCAAATGAAAATTTGAAAAAGAAGCCTTAACCACTAACAGCCAATTCCATCTATCCCCTGACCCAGAACTTGCCTGGTCTCTGCCTGGAGCGTGATAATTGTCCTTCACTATTGCTCCGTTCATTAATGATGTGATTATCTGTCAGATGAGGTGCAACATTTTATATGGGCCAAATTAAGGCTAATGGTGAAATGTTAATGAAAATTAGTCAGTAATCAATTAATAGTTAAAGAAAGTAAGAAACAGATTCACACTTGCAGTTTATGTACTTTAGACATCTTTTCTCAACAAAGGCTTATTTGCTTTAATCTTCTTTCATTTCTAATAAGGCTGTTTATTTGGAGTTCAGATTATTATAGTGTAAACAGAATATCATTATTGGAAGTTCTTTGCATACCTGTTACATCTATACATTATATGATCTAAAGTAATTGAGTAGCCTTTTATCAAACACATTTTCTATTCTTAGTTTAATATATTTTTAGATGCTTTCTTCTCAGTTCTATTTAAGAAAATCATCTGAATTATCAGGGCTGCTAAGTGGAGCAGTGGATAGAAGGTTCTGCAAGAAGCAAGAAGGTTCTGGGTTCAATTCCCAGCCCAGGGTCTTTCTGCATGGAGGTTGCATGTTCTCCCTGAGCATGCGTGGGTTCTCTCTGGGTACTTCGGCTTCCTCCCACAGTCCAAAAACATGACTGTTAGGTTAATTTGCTTCCCTAAATTGTCCTTAGGTGTCAGTGTGTGCGTGAATGGTTGTTTGTCTCTGTATTGCTTTGCGATGGACTGGCGACCTGTCCAGGGTGTACCCTGCCTCTCACCCGTTGACTGCTGGAGATCAGCACCAGCACACCTTGCGACCCCACTCGGGAGAAGCGTGTCAGATGGATAGATGGATGGATGGATCTGAAATATCAACTAACTTTGCTGAGCTGGAGGCTGGGATTTATCTGCAATCACAGTAGCAAAATAGTCCGATTGGAAAATGAGTATCTTTGGTATTAGTTTTCAACTCTTCTCTCAAATTCTCAGGAAGATTTTACTCAGTCTGGTTTAATGTATTGTAAACCCCTTTATTGTCCCATAATGGACAATAAAGGGGATTTTGACCCGTCCCCCTGGGGAGCAGTGGGTTGCCATTGTGCGGCGCCCGGGTAGCGATCATGGATTAAGGGTTTTGCTCAGGAACCCAGAGTGGAGACTGTGGGGATCGAACTACATGCAACCTTCTGAGAGCAAAAGTGCACTGCACTAACGCACTAGGCCAACACTCCCCATTATGGCTGAGCCACTTTATTACATGAACTTACTTTAATCTACACTATTTAACTGTAGGTTTACCTTCATATATTAGGGGTTTTCTCACATTTTCATGACTTAGACATTAGATAAAAACTGTTAATACTTTTTGGCCAGTTGTTTTTCCACGCATGCAGGGGCTCTCACTCAGAGAGCTGAATTCATTAGCATTACTCTTACTTTCATTAATCAAATGAAAAACCACTTTATACTTCATTTTAATATAAGAATAGTGTGGGGGACCATTAATGGGGAGCTATAGAACAAGTCAGAATAACTTAGCCCCCTTTTTCCTTTAAAACGTATCTATGAACCCCCCTTAAATATTCTATTTTGTTTTGTAATTTAGAAACACTTGTATTTCGGTTTTCATCTTAGGTGGTATAGATAAAGGCAGTTTGATAATCATAATTTTGGCAGAGAGGCAATTAAGATTAAAATAAATTCAGTTCAAACAGGCACAAAGGGCAGCCCTGGGTCCTAAGAATCGGTATTGGGAACCCGTGTAGTTAAGCAGACCATCGCAACTGGTTGTAAAGCACATCAGACTTATGTGTACCTGTTTGTATTTTCAGACAAAACGGAAATTTAAAAACACTGTTTTACAACCAATGCATGCGTCGACATCTCCATCGTTCAACAATAGCCATATAAAATAATTAACAGCTCAGAAAAGTAGATTTTTTTAAGATATAAGCTCTTTAATGCATAGATAGTGTTTATAGGAGAAGGAAAATGCTAAATATGTTAACCTTACATCTCCAAAGCTGTTGTGAGGTCCTTTAAAGTTATAACTGTCATATTTTCCAACCTCTTTATTGC